GGCAGATCAAATCAATTAAAATTGAATGGCATATATTCAAAGTTGGGACCAGATCTATAAAAGTGAAAAACGCAAATGTTTCTCAACAACGGATCGTCATCATGTGGACAGTTAAAATCTTTTCTTAAATTTACCAGTTAATCAGATACATTAGATCTACCTATAAACCAGATTTTAGATTTGGTACTTAGCTCATGGCTAGATACTATGTTCAAAACCCATATTTTAAACATCATAGGAAATCACAAAAGTTCTTAAGAGTTGGGTCATTCCATGCCAACTTAACAAATGCATTACACCATGGGTCATATATTTTAAAAATATTTTTTGGCACACTGACTCAGTGATAGTGTGAACTGAAAACCTGAAATTTTGGGACTCGCCAATTGGTTCATTTTCCTGTAGCGGCAGTTTGAAGTTAAGGGGGCGTGGCCCAAAATAAATATAAATATACAGTAATATGAATTCTAGGAAGTTTCTATTCATGAATCGAACATGAATATATTCATGAAACAGAAATAGAAAGTTTCCAGAAAATAATTTACCATATATTGGCCACAAAGAAATGATATGTGATGTCCCAGTGCTGTGACTTACTAATAATAAGGGCCGTCACCCACAATACAAATTCGACGAAATTATTATTAGCCAGGTTGAAGTTGCCCATTAAGAATTAAACCAGAAATGACTTTAGATCAATAAATTTGAAATTCATAGAAAAATTAACAGGTTTATGACATACATTTAGAAAATTAAAGCAAAATATTCATACAAAAGTAGGGTATTATTGTTGATGATGTGTTAAAACATGTTTTTAAGGATTTGGAATCAGCAGTAAAAGGTGTCCTACACTACAAAAGGAGGGGTTGTATGATGATATCAGCATATGAAAATCAAATTTAATTTGAGGGACACACCCTTTACGTCGAATTGCCGCTACGGGAAAACGAAAAGGGAATTTGAGTATCAAAACTTCAGGTTTTTCTATTCACAAGGCCGGAGGGTGCAAAAAATAAAAATTTACGTCGAATTGCCACTACAGGAAAGTGAATGAATTGGCGAGTCTCAAAATTTCAGGTTTTTCAGTTCACATAGATATCTATATCACAGGATTTTTTTTTAAATCTGGTTGATTTGACATGGAATGACCCTACAATAGGTCAAAGGTTGGAATGTACCATTTCCGGTCACTATTTGAATATTTTTCAATTAAGACGAATATAAACATGAATCTCCTGAACAATTTGCAATCAATTGTGAGTCTCTGTGACCAGTAGTTACCGAGATATGATAATACAAGTTCAAAGGTCAAACTTTCAAAATTCGCATTATTACAATAGATAGGAACATGCATATTGTGAACAGTTTGAGACCAAAATCAAGTCTCTCTGACCAGTGGTTATCGAGATACAAGTGTCCAAACCAACAGGCGGCCATTTTGAAAAACGCCCCCATACGGGACTTCCCCCCATATCTGGGAGGTATATAGGAGCTATATTTTATCTAAATTGGTCCATCTTGCCAAATCCATCGAGAAAAAAAGGTATCCTACAATTATTCACGGATCTCATGAAAATGACTCTACTAGCCCGAGTTATCTCCGAAATCGAGAGTAGATTACCGGAAGAACAGATGAGAAGGTGGGTCAGGCTGATCCACGATCCACAAGAAAAGGATAAAGTGGAGAAAGACGGGAAACTAAAAACTCTCTTAGACTTTCTGGAAGAGGAGAGTAAGAGTCTGAGATACATGACGTCAGGCTTGCAATGGGCTGCACCACGACCAAAGGTGCACAGCAGCACAGTCAATTTTGTGTCGACAGGGAAAATGCCGGACGAAAGCTGCTTGATACACGAGGATGGTAAACACACAACGCAGGATTGTAGAATGTTCAAGTTTATGACCGTTTATGACAGAATCGAATTAATGAAACAAAAAAGAGCCTGCTTCAGATGTCTAAAAATAGGACATCAAGTGAAATTCTGTAAATTGGGACGTTGCGATAAAGAGGGTTGTACTAGGAAACATCACCCATTGATACATTACGCACCGAGAAATGGAGAAGTTGTTAATGCGACGCAACAAAGCAATGCTACGACATTCCAAACTCATCGGGGAATGGCAGAATGGCGAATGCAGAGGAGAAGGGATCACCGCCATGTTCGATTCCGCTTGTACATCCTCCGCCATCCTATCCGAGGTGGCTGAAAGACTAAAATTAAAAAGGAAGCCGCTAACAATTTCTATCACTAAGTTTGGTAGTGAGACCGAGTGTATCGACACGTACAGTTATATCCTACCATTGAAGACGAGACATTAAAATAGAGGTATTTAGTATGCCGCACATCACCAATAACCTAATACAACAAGACACTGCAAGAATGGCAAGTATGTTGGGAGTTGACAAACGTCAAGTAGAACGACCTACTGGGGCAGTAGAATTACTCATTGGGGCTGATAATGCAAATCTGTTCAGAAGAGCTTGCTTTGTGTGAAGGGCCATTCGGCAAGATGATCTTCGGAAAACACTCCATGTGCAGAAGTGAATCAAACTCAATCAACTTAACGCAGATTAAACAACAACCTGATTTTGACTTTTTAGATATCGAGAGCTTTGGTGTTAGATGCAGTCCAAGGTGTGGAGGCTGTAAATGTGGCAATTGGCCCCTAGGAGCTAAGAGATACACCTTAAGAGAAGAAAGGGAACTAAACTTAATTGACGAAGGGTTAACGCGCATGAAAACTTTCTCACTACAGTAAATAGGCCTGTTATGTGTGTATAAATACATTTAAAAAAAAATTGAATAGTTGCATACGATTTTTCCAATAGATGAATCCCAAAAAGAAAGGAGGGTCCGGGGTTCTTCCCAATGAAAATTTTGATTCCTAGAAGGCGGAAAATGAGCTTTTCCGACTTATGAGGTGTCTTTTAAATTAAAGTCATTAAAAAATACTTCAGAGTCGGGAAATCTCATTGTCCACCATTTAGAAATCAACATTTTCCCGGGAAGAACTCGAACCTCCCTTTCTCTGGGTTCATTGATTCATTATAATAATTTTCAAGAGGGGAACACCTTGAATTTTGAAGAACTTAAAAAGTAATTAAGTTCTTCAAAATTCAAGGTTTTCCACTCTTGAAAACGGTCAGATAATTTTTTACTATTGTTATTACAGTAAATAGGCCTTGTGTGTATACATACATAAAAAAGGATTGAGTAAGTTGCATACGTAGTTTTTCCATGAATCGATAAATCCCAAAAAGAAAGCGGTGGGGGTCCTGTGGTGTTCTTCCCAAGGAAATTTTGATTCCTAGGTGGCGGGAAATGAGCTTTCCCGACTTCTGTAGTGTCTTTTAATGACTTTTAAATTCTTCAAACTTCAAGGTCTCCCCCCCCCCATTGAAAATGATTCAATTATTCAATAAACTCCAAAGATAAAGGGGGTCCGGGTTCCCCTGGAAAAATTTCGATTTCTAGATGGCGGGAGATGAGCTTTCCTGACTTCTGAAATGTCTTTTAATGACTTTTAAAGCTCTTCAAAATTCAAGGTTTTCCCCTCTTGAAATAGGTCAGGTAAATTTTTCTCATTTTTTATTTTATGTGTGAATACATACATAAACAAATGAGTAGTTGCATGCGTATTCTTTTTCAATGAATCGATAAATCCCAAAAAGAAAGGTTGGTCCGGGGGTTCTCCCCCGGGAAAATGTTAATTCCTAGATGGTGGGAATTGAGCTTTCCAGACATTTGAAGTGTGTTTTAATGAATTTTATGTTCTTCAAAATTCGAATTTTCTGATAGAAAAAAAAAAAAAAAAAAAATCAGCTCACGGGTCCTGAAGAGGTAGGTCTAGAATTTTTTTTTTGCCCTTTTTTTGTTGCCCAAAGGAGGTGTCAGGACAAATGACCCCCTCCCCCAGATCCGCCAATATGAATTGCGAGAAAATGTAACTCGGTCTGGTACTGGATAAACATTCTCTTTCCCATCCTTCTTCTCCTTCTTCCCTCCTTTTTTTGGCATTTCCGATCATACAAAAATCTCAAGACATTATATATTTTTCGCCAAAAAGTGGGGGGCCCGGCCCCCCCCGCTTCTGCCGGCCATGATTCTCATCGTTAGTCAGGAATAGTTTAAAATCACTCGGCCTCCTTGTTGCTGGTCCATCTACAACATATCTCTGAGAGAAACCACGGCGCAGTCTCTCCTGAGCCTTGATAGAGTGAGTGTGGTATGAGTCAGTTGAGAAGACAAAATTCTTCTACGCCATCCGATCTGGTATCTGTAGGCATATTGCACCAAATGTGGTGGTGGTGGGGGAAGGTTTTTTGAGTGCGTGGAAAAGTGAATTTCCATCCTGGATGTAAAATGCATCTTTTGGGTAAGGTACGTTCTCAGGAGCATCCTCTGTCAAGAAATGAAGTATTTTGGCTTTGTTGGTCTTAATAAAAAACCCATCAGCTGTGTCCAGGCTATGGGGGACAGGGGTCAGCGGGTATTGCATAAGCTGATCTAGATTAAGTGGATCATCTAGGCTCTGAGACTTAATTAGCAGCATAAATGCGAGGTCACTTTGTTGACGGTACTGGATAACCTGCAAAAAAAATAAATAAATAAATAAAAACAATTTAATAGACCTATCACACTGCTATCATACACTGATATGTACTGTTGCAGTAGGTGTTTAAAGCCCCTCTCCCACCTAAGTTTATTTCACCTAAGAGTCGTACGATTTCTACGAGTTAAAACTCGTGATCTTTGGAAAGGACATACGAGCTTATTACGTGTTAGCTACGAGTAAGGTACGACTTTATGGAGTTGGTTACGAGTTATGTACGAATTATGCCGAGCAGAGCACCGAGTTAACTACGAGATTCTTATGAGCGTAACAAGTTTGTACCGAATTAGATACGAGTAAGGTACGAGCCAACTCGGTGCGCTCGTATTTACTCGTACTCGTTTTTGGGTGCTCGCATCAAACTCGTAGATGACAAAACCGCCGACGAGTATCCAGAGTAGTGTACGAGCTAGGTAGGAGTAGCCCGGGTATTTTACGAGCTACCAACAAGTTCTTCGAGTTTACTACGAGTTATCTACTCGTGGCGATAATTTTGAACATGTTCAAAATTAGCGCCACGAGTTCAGAGCTGCTACGAGTAGGTAAGAGTCCTCTCCGAGCTTTCCGAATCGTCCTACGAGTTTTTGCCGAGTTTGCCGAGTTAGCAACTCGGCATTCTCTTGTAACTCGTATGCTGAAAAAACCCCTAGTGGGAGAGGGGCTTAACAGACCTTTCCTTGAGACACAGTGAGCTTAACTGTCTTGTTGGAAGCATCCATCGTTCTTGGTTTCTTCCTCTTTATAGGTTAAAAAAAAGTGCCTCGGAACCATTCACAAAGCAATCTTGGAGGAACGCTTCCTTAGCATCCTATCCAACTGCTTCAGCAAGGAGCACACCAAGTTCTACCTACCTCGGAGGAAACTGGAGCTCCCGAGGACACATTGTAGAGGTGGTCTTTGTCAACTATGCAGAAAGGGTTCGTGAAGCTACGAATAGCAGCGATTGTGCTCTGAATTGAAAGTTTTTTTTACCCTAATGACCCCTATGTGAAATTTGACCACAAGCAGCGAACACCCCCATGTATGAGAGGTGTCACCGATTATACTGACCAGGTTTGGTTGAAATCGGTACAACCGTTTGGCACTGGCGTTTTGAAATGTTGCCAGAAAAAAGATAAAAATTACTGCTTAATGACCTTTGACCCTTATCCCTGAACACCCTATAGACTCTGCCTTATGCCTTTATAGGCATTTTGAACCGTTGACCAATGTACTTTGACCTAAGGAATAAAGAGTATTTTTTTTCATGTTTAAAAGGCCCTAAGGATCATTCCTGGTAAATTTTAGGCTAATAGGGATATTTTGAAATTTTACCCCAATGACCCCTGGGGTGTAGGAAATGCCACCGGTTCTTAATGACCAAATTTGAATAAATTTGTTCCAATTGTTTGCCATTAGTTTCACTTTTAAATGTTACCAGGATAGAACAAAAGAATAATCCTTTAATGATCTTTGATCCTCAATACCTGAACACCATAAAGACCCCACCTTATGCCAATGCATCTTTTAAACAAGTTTTTTGGTTCAACAAAAAGAAGTACAGGTAAAAAAAAAGATTTTATTTTGGAACCAGATGAATTTATTTCAAAATTTTTCAAATGTTATCACAGTATTCATTAAAGGAACAGTACATTATAATAACTATTTATAAGAGTAAAGGGAGAATGCTATCTATAATAAGTACTACAAACAATAAAAACACCTCTTAGTATTAACACAGTTATAAATTCAATACCACAGTATTTGTGAAATGACAATGAAAATTAACGAATGTAAGACAAAATTTATAATGTTAACACAATAATAATTAAAGGTACAGTATATCATAAAACAGTTACTCTAAATTATTGAATTTTAGTAAAGTCTATAAAAAATGTGTATGTTCAAAAAAAATGTTATATCATTTTGTTTAGTTCTACGTTCAGGTTCTTTTTAGGTTTTGACGCACGGGCAGCTTTAGTTGCTTTTCCTTGGCCTACTTCTGTTGGCACATCAGGTTTTGATAGAGTTCCTTCATCGCCTATCTCTTGTATTTCGGTACCGCACACCTTTATCTGGTATATTTTATCCTCAGTCTTTTCCAATATGTTTTGTTCATTTACTGCATTGAATTGTAAATTAAATATTGTCTTGCAAATTATTAAATCTAACAGAGTGTGGTCGTCAACTTTTTGCACAATGACATTGTACATTGTGTCGTCTTTGCTGCCAACACTGATGATACTACCGTTAAGGATCGTTGGTGTCTTCCCTTGAAGCTGTTGAGTGAGATTATGAAAAAGTTATCATATTTTGTTTAAATTATAAATATTTTAGCTGTTGAGTGAAAGTAAATGGTAATTAACAGATC